AAGAGATATTTTTTTAAAAATATTTATGACTTACAATTTATTGAAGATCAGTTAGTCGGCATAAAAAAACTGTAGTTTTTGTGCTGAAATTTGCCCTTATATTGAAACATTTTTCATGAATTTTTTAAAGTTAGCTTTGGATTTACAATTTTAGGTACCCTGCTTACTAAAAATAAAATTAAAATTTTAATTAAAGTGATAAAAAAAAAAAAGAAATAGTGCGTGGAGTCGGCCGGAAGAAGTGAAACTTCGTAATGTGGAAATGAAAATAGGAAAGGGTAGAAATTGATCACATATTTTAATTATCATTTTCGAGTGGAGAAATATCCAAATCTATAACATTTACAATGGGATTATGATAACTAAAGTAAGATACGAAATGTTTGAGTTCTATTATTTCAATATTTCTTGCAAAAACTGCATCAATGGTAGTTCCCCCTTTTCCTACCATTTATCATTTCCAATCCAAATTTGTCTTTAAGGAAGATTAATAATGTTTCAACTTCAGGTGACGAGAAATTCACATTAAAATCTCCTGCAAGGATCACAGGCCACCGCCAAAAAACGTCGCCAGCGCAAATGAATATTTTATGATAACCCATTGACTAATTCGAAAGAGGAATGCGTAAATTTACTAGGTTGCTAGGCAACCTCTGACTGTAAAACAGGCATACTACGCGCATGCGTTCGAGTGCCACGCACTCAGCGTTAAACGTTAAACGCAACCTTGTTGGAAGTCGCATTAGAAGTTTCACTTTAAAAAAAAATGTGATCCAATTATTCATATACCTTAACAAAAATAAATATTTTAATTTAATGCAAATTTTTCAAAAATGATGATAATAACTGTTTGAAAAAGTATACTTGGATATTATATCACAATAGAATTAATTATTTATTTACATTAAATTCGGGTTAAACGTAGAAAATAGAACTCGTCATTATATTAGTGCAATAATTTATAAAATACTATTTTTCCGTTATTTTTTTTTTTCTGGTTCGGTTTTCCTCAGTTTTTTTTTATCGGTTCTTTTTTTTCGGTTCTACTATCTAACACTTTTTAGCAAATAATGAACAATATGCCTATTTTCATTACTGTTGGGAACAGTTATAGTTACTTATGATGGCTGTAAGTCTAAGTTACTGTCTTCTAACAATTTTTAGCAAACAATACTCCTATTTTTATCACTGTAGTGAGTTTGTTACGGTTGTTCATGGCTGTTGAAGTTTAACCTATTTTTAGCTAGCTTTTTGTAAGCTGTGATTTTGAAAACAGTGCAAAATGTTAATAAAGAAGACGAGCTCAGGTTTTGGGAAAATGAAAAGCGCTTGCAACCTAACTTTTTCAGTTTAAGAAATTACTTTTAACGCAGGATAATCTGGGATAATAATTTTCATCGCTTTCGAAAAATTTGTGATTTTAAAAGAATTTAATAACTTTAAAAAAATATTTGAATCATTTGTACGTCCTAATGCCTAGATAACTCATTACGACCATATGATATGTATTGTTTAAAATTATACTTCTTCTGCCTGAAGTATAAGGCTTTTTATTTGTTCTTGTCTTAAATGTTTGCTTTTTTTGTTTTCCTTGAAAAAGCACACTTTTATGAGTAAGAGAAACATTATAAAATGTTATCAATAAACAAGTATAACATTCATTCCTAACATCTTTACCCATTTCAGTCCCAGCATAGAATTCTTTTAAATGTGGTACAGTGAAGTCTCCAGGAAAGATCACCTCTCTATAGCGACCAACTCTATTTCGTCTCCTCTATTACATATATTATTTTTACATATATCATATTATGAATGATAAAGCTATTTTATATAAATATACCATTAAGTTTTTTTTTAAAAAGCTCTTTAAATAAGAGCCTCACACAAATATAGAGAATACATTTTACTCAACTTATTTGTTTTGTTAAGTTTTTTGTTTTGATATTTTTTTTGTGTTTCCTTATTTGACATTTTCCGCATTTGGTGCACATGTCTGTCCGGTTACTGGGAGAGGTGTTTTATTAGTCTCTCCTAAAGGTTTTCTTCAACACAAAGTACAGTGGTACCTCGAGATACGAGTGCCCTAACATACGAGTTATTTGAGATACGAGCTGTCGAGCGAGCGAAGTTTTGTTTTGAGATACGAGGAACGGCCAGGCAAGTCCTTCTCCTCCTCGACAATGCTCCTGCTCACCCACCGAACCTCGAACATGACATCCTCGAAGAGTTCAAGTTTATAAAGGTTCTCTATCTACCACCACTCCTATCCTGCAGCCCATGGATCAGCAGGTGATTTCTAATTTTAAAAAGCTGTACACTAAGCACCTGTTCCGGAGCTGCTTTGAGGTGACAGAAAACAGAAACCTCACCCTTCGAGAGTACTGGGAGGACCCTTTTAACATCGTGATATGCCTCAGAATTATTAATCAGGCCTGGCTGAGCGTTGCAACGAGGACCTTGACCTCTGCATGAAAGAAGCTGTGGCCAGAGTGAGTCTGTAGCCGAAAATTGTGCTGTGGCCTGAGTTTATAGCTTCGAAGGATTCGAACCCAAAGATCTTTAAATAAGAGCCTCACACAAATATTGTGAATACATTTTACTCAACTTATTTGTTTTGTTAAATTTTTTGTTTTGATATTTTTTCGTGTTTCCTTATTTGACCTTTTCCGCATTTGGTGCAGATGTCTGTCCGGTTACTGGGAGAGGTTTTAATGGTCTCTCTTAAAGGTTTTCTTCAGCACAAAGTCTATGGGAAAAATTCCATGCCTCCTAAAATGGGTCGTAAATAGAGGAGATCTTTCCCGGAGGTTTTACTATATCAAAATTGCGACACATTTTGTCTGCTACCTAAAATATGTTATTATTATATTATTATTATAATATGTATTTTGTATATGAATTTATTTCTTCTCTTAAAGTCCTTATTGTTAATATTTTTCACCGACAATTCAAAATTTCATTACAGCATATATAGATGATAATATTGAATTAACTTTTATTATTTTTATTACAGACAAGAAGTGGAAGCAAGATGCATAAACTTATTGTCAGGAGGTATGTGTTTCGGCTATTTTATGCATTCCTTATTGTTAAGATAGCAAGTTTGTTAAGATAAAAAGGACAAACCATAGTGAAAGATTTGGGGGAAATTTTGAATACTTCTTAAGAACTCAAACTCGTTCACACGCGGAAAAAACGCGAGGCATTCTTTGAAAGGAAAGTTATAGAGATACTGCAAATGATTAAACAAAAAGCGTATAAAAGAGCTTCAATTTTAGGAAATTTTAATATTTTTATTCAAATGATTAATTGATACCAAATAAAAAATAGTAATATTTAGATTGAGAACTAGATATTAGGTATTAATGCAGAAGATGATCTATAATTTGTCCATAGAAAGAACATCCCTCACCATGAAGTTTGCGGCCGTCTGCTGCTATGGAAACAGGAAATGGCGCATTTCAAAGAGGGGAGCTTCCTTCTCCCTTTCTCTCACTGACCTGAAACAAATCTATCTTAAACAGTGACCCAACTTAAATAATGACATACTTGAAATAGTTAAACTTAGTAACTGCTACCACTCCAGACGAATGGCATGGGGAGTTCTTTACATAGACAAACTATAATGATCCAGTTGGTTCTTAGATGGTGTCACTGTAAAACTAATTATGTTGAAACATTAAAAAAAATGAAAAAGAAGAACGGATAAATGGACTGATTAAAGAAAAATGGTATTAAATGGCTTAATTTGACATTTAATCACAATTTCAAGCTCTGCAGTCGCATGAAATAATGCCTTTTTGCAAATTAGATCTTATTTTCATAACAGTCTGCAGCAGTTATTTATGACTGTTAGATCAAGTTCAGCATACCTTTAACCAGAATCGGTTATGTTCACTCTGAAAAGGACGTAAAACGTCAATATGGAGGAAAGCCACAGTTTTGTAAAAATGACAAGCGTTTGTGGTCTAATTTTTTAAATACACATTTAGAAACTTAATTTCATACTTATATCTGGGCTCATAAAAAATTGCAAAAAATGTGAATAAGACATCGATTTTGATATTTTTCATATTGGTGGAAAAATGCGACTTCCAAATTAGCGATTATTAAAAATGTTTAAAAACTTTAAATTAAATTTTTATAATATTAACATTAGATAATTTAAATATTATAAAAGAGAGATTGTTTCTTAAAAATTATTTAATTTAATTTTTTTGTGCTCACTGAACATTGTTTTATCACTCTCGTTAATGTCCCGTTAACGGCATCAATTTCGAATTAACGAATAACGTCATAGTGAATTCGTTAACGAATAACGTCAACTAATAACGAAATTCTTTGATGTTCGAATAACGTCCAAGAATTTCGAATTTTTGTTGCTCATTGCAAGAGCTTGTATTACGTTTTCATTTCAGTAAATTTTCTGGTTAAAGGGTTTTCTATTTTTGCATTGTTAGTGGAATTTAGTTAGGCAGGATATTCTTGTTAACTTATTATCACAATTTGTTCTAAATTTGAGCGGGGTAGCGAGCATCAACTTTTTTTTGTCGTCATTTTCTTGTTTCTTTCGTTCTAATGTTATTCGTTTTCTAGAGTCAGAATTGTCTTATGTGCTCGCTAGAGTGCCTGTATTGAAAAGAGTGATGACAATATCCTAGAGCGCATGCGCTGCCGTCAGATTTTTGTCCAAGGGGGTTGCCAGATGATACACCGAAATTGGCGCCACTCGCTCATTTGGTGTTATTCTGAAGGTTCTGTTATTCTAAGATTATATACTAAAGTATCAATAATATAAACTTTAAGATTGGAAAGCACATGATATTACAGATTTTTTAAGAAACATTGTCTATCATCTGAAATTGTTAAAAAATTAACGTCAATGAAAAAAAAAAAGACTTATGAAAAGACTTCAGCTTTTAGTAAATGCCTTAAATAAAATATAAAAATTAATAATGATTATGCAAGTTTCAGAAATAATAATTAATAATACAAATTATATAATTTATTATTATTTATTACTTTTTCAGGAAAAAATTATCGCATATTCACCTGAAAAGGTATTGTTTATTTCAACAAATTGTAAACAAAAATTTCCATAATTAGTTGAAATTTAAAACAAACTAGCATTTTATACAATAGGGAACGAAAAGTAAACAAATGCTACTTTGTAACGCGCATTGTAACATTTTAACGCGAACATTGTAACGCGCCAACATGTCAAAGTAATATCGCCAAACTCTGCACTTCTGAAGTTTTGATAAAAAGATGCTCAAATCTTAAAATTGATAAGTAATTTAGATAGAAATTATGTGCATTAAAAGTAAATACATTTATTCTTATCTAACCATTAGTTATTTCATCACCTTGTTCTCTTTACAATGAGATAAACATAACTTTATATGCACGCAAGTAAGTGATAATAAGGATAAATTCTAATAACTAACAACTATCCAAATTTTCAGCCATAATTTTAACATTTACTGTAACTGTGAAGTTTCTTATTGAAAAAAAGTAAGTAATGAACTTATTACATGCATTTATTAATACAGAACATAATTTTTTTGAGTCAGATAATTTTCACTCCGTATAATTCCAATGGCGAATTTTCCACTCTCGCCTCCGGCGGTAAAGTTTTTCTTTCCACCAATCAGGAATCGTTTCTCCCTTGTCCACTCTCTTTTACTCTAGTGCTCGCAATTACAGAGAAAACTATAAAAGGAAATAAAAATAAAATAAAATAAATAAATAAACAAATAATAAATAAAAAAAATGATTTATAAATAAACTCATAGAATGGTAGAATGGTAAAAATCACATACATCTCGGTGCGCTGCCGCGAAGCGGCATTAACCGATTCATCTGTAGTAATAAATCGATGATGAGGAGTAGTGAGGAGGAATGGAGATGGGAGGAAGAGGGGGCGCTTAGCACCAAAAAATCGAGAGGGGGTTCGTGTGCTTGCTAGGGCAACACTATATCCCTAAGGAAAAATGCAGTGATTGGGCTAAATTTAGTGTTGTCGTCAATTAGTTCTATATCTAGGAGTGAGTTAAAATTGCTGGTGGTACTAGTTTTTGCAAATAAACTCATAGATACCAACTTGCTCCACTTTGCAAAAAAATGTATTTTCTAGTGGTACCGAAATTTAGGTTATTTTTAGCTTAGTATTTTTCATTTTGAGTTATTTTTCTACCACTACACATCAAAAATTCAAGTTATCATAAAGAACGCAAATTCATAGCAATAACAGAGGGCCGCTAAGTGGCCCAGGTGCCAAATTTTTGTAAATAAAGTAAAGTAAGCAATTACAGAAATGCCAACTGCTCCGCTTTCTTGAATAGTTTTAATAAAGTGGTAGCAGATTAAACAGTAAAATTCGTTAAAGAAAGATAGTTACGCGCCTACTTTTTAATATAGTAACCAGTAGATCGATGCTTAAACATTGTATTTTATATCAAACTTATAATTTTTGATACTTAGTCGTGAAAAAATTACTTAAAATGAAAAATACTAAACTAAAAGTAACTTAAATTTCGCTACCACCAGAAAATACTATTTTACAAAGCGGAGCAAGTTGGCATATCTGCAATTATCTCGTCGATCTCTTAAATAAGAACTCCTCCAGACACTCATACTCACTCATATGTGTTGGTTATCTTAGCATCAGCCCCGCTAGGGGCTCCAACTAATTCATCTGAGTGGAAATAAATAATAAATCGCCGAAGCGCAACTGAGAGGTGAAAGTTAGGGTTCAGTATCTTTTACTGAGAGAAAATTAAAATGAAGTAGTGAGATTGAACAAACAAGTTTGAGAGAGAGAGAAGAGGTTTTGTGGCAGACTGCCTCGCCTCCCTTCGAGGTATTACCCCGAGCTTCACAGGTGCACAGTAGCCACATAGCCCCAGGGAAAAGGGGAAATACATAATAAATGCGCAAAATTATTTACAAGTATTTACAGCTATTTACAAAACTCCTCCAGACACATGGGTGAAAGCCCTTATATAGCAAGACGGAAAAGAGAAAAACCTGGTACGTAAAACATTTCATTCCAGCATTTTTTTCGAAAAAAATGAAATATCTGTAACTATCAAGATTTCTTTTATAATTCTGGCATATATATAAAACTGCTTCTTTTCCAAGATAAAGTAGATGTTGTTGAAAAATTTAAAAAAAGAATAAGTAAACTCCTCCCCAAAACTAGCTATAACTGAAATGACTATGGTAAGGAGGTATAACTATTTCAAGTAAGGTTGCGGGGTCACTGTTTTGGAGTGGTTTCGTCTTGGGTCGGCGGGAGAAAGGGAATCTTTTTCTTCGGTCTATTGTGTTAGTCCCAGAGTGAAGCTACCCTCCCTAAAATGCGTCATTCTTGTTTCCATAACACCAGACGGCCCCAAACTTTGTGGCGGGAGGAGCTCTTAACTTATTAAAAAAAAGTTAATACTCGCTGACAACCCCCTAGCCCCCACCAAATTCAAGACGTCCACAACCCGCCTGTGGAAATTTCTACTTTTGAATGACATTAGTTACCGTTGCCCTAGGTCAGTGTTTCCCAAAGAGTGGTACGCGTACCCCAGGGATATGGGAACAGTTTAGCGGAGTTACACGCTCTTAGGCGAAATATCTTGCAACAAACGAAAATTTTATTTAAAAACAAAGCTAGCCATGAAAATTTACGATTACGTATTGTTCTATTAGCTATTTTTTGCAGAGTTAACGGTTAATAATTAGTGGTGCAGGTGGTAATCACAGGCAGTTGTGATTTTTAACTTTTGTGCAATTTTTTAATAGAAAAAAATACATTCATTTTTTTATTAGTAGTACATAGCGTTACGAAAAATTTACAAAATGATACACTACCCTAGGACTTATTTTTGCATGAAAAAGTGTGGTGCCAGCTGACGCGATTAGGATCTTTACCAATTTACATGATCAAGCATGCAGTTATCTCTTGGTGACATATTTAAAGAGGGAGGGTAATTATCCTAATTCTGCAAGTTTTATTATTAAATTCCCTACCAATTTATTAAAACTTTTACTGAAAACTAAGTAGTTGGCATCCATGTAAACGTTTTTTTCTGTTTTTTCCCCCTGTATTATTTCAAAAATAATAGCACTTTCATGAAGTGATTTTATTTAGTTACTTATTTTTTAATTCCAGATGGATCAGCAGAATCCATACGGTAAGCAAATTTTTCAAATACTTTACTTCATTTTCCATTTATTTATTTTTTTAAAGATGATTCCTTTAAAATAATTAACATTTAGTGTTGATGAGCTGTTAATGTTAGCTGACACAAGGCGTTCCTGAAAGATCGTTCTTAATGAGTATTTTTTTGAATCCTTACCATAAATGAAAAAAAGGAAAGAAGATGCATACACATTGAGGGACGTAAATTACATGTAAGCGAATGTAATGAACATCAAAACAATTTAATTGGAGGTTGAAACTTGAAGAAGTTTCTAATAATCGTCTTTCAATTCTTTTTTTTTATTTTTTCTTCCAATCAAACTTGTCTTGTTGTTATTTGCATTCGTTTCCTGTACTGTGGCTTCGTGACATTTCAATAGTGTTTACGTTCTTTTTTAGATTAAAAACTGATTTCTTTTAACAAGTAAGTACCTACATTGTATAAACTGTCTGCCTAAGGAAATCCACCCGCCAAAGAGTCAGAGGTTGTCTGTTGCTATTCGCTATCACAAAGCTTTGAATACACCATCTAGGGAGAAGACTATTCCTTCTTCCCCTTTTTTTAAAAAATACTTTTCATATTTAATTTTCAAAAATATTTTTTTAAAATTTCCATGACGTTTTCTTTTAGACCTATGTTCAAAGTGGTTTTCAAATTCGTATCGTTTCTTAACTTTATGGTTTTCAATCTATGTGAAAATAAAGACAGAAACTAACGTACTTCCTTCTCCTATGACACTTCACACGCTTTTGGCGAAAGCATTCAAAGTGTTGGCATAGGTAGAGAGTTCTGCTCTACGCCACCTGCCGGCCATTTTGATTGCCAGTAGAAACAAGAAAGAGCACATCTTAGAGGGCAGCCTTTGATGCTTCTCTCACTGACCCCCGGTTCCGCAGTAGACTGGTGGCAAAGACACGATTCCCAGTAGAACACCGAAGTCAAGCATCACTGGCTGCAGTCAGTAAGCGGTGTGAGCTCTTTGATCTGCCTATGTTGGGACCGAGGGAGCACGGTATCAGTCCTCTTTAAATTGCTTTCATCACGAGCAGGTGGTTTGGCTACCAAAGCGTGGAAGCCATCCCCTCTGCAGAAGATCAAAATTGTGATAGCATGTCTTCGGATCATCTTCAGGGATGTTTATCAGACCGTTGTTAGCCCATTATGCAGCTCTAGTGCGGTGTAAATAAAATACCTACCTTCCTCACTGGCCCTCGTCAAAACTTTTCCTAAATGTTTACCTCACTTCCCTACTTGAAATGGTTTAACCTCATAACCATAGTCACCAATAGTGCTCCAGACGATTAGATTGAGAGACTATATGCAGGCTCGTGTTCTCATTCTTACTCAATACCCCTCAGTCTAAAAAGAAGAGCATACTGATACATCTAGGGGGATATCTATTGGAGGGAGGCTGATGAATTCAGTTAAAAGTGGCCAGATGACTCAAGACAAGTCCTTCTGTGGTTCATATACAGTTGCGACGATTTCTAATATCAAGTTCTATTCTAATAGCAAGTTCGATTTCTAAGAACGACCAAACGCTACGATAAGCACCGATAATCGATATCTTTCATTATGTGAGCTAAGGAATCGGGCCGAAACCAGTTCAGATGCTATCTTAGTGCATCCACCGGAAGATTGGTGTCAACGTCCACTGTACCTACCTATAAGGCTTCACTATATAGCGTGGTTTTCTCGTTAGGCGAGCTGCCATTTGAAAGCCACACTCGTCACGCCATGGAAAGGAATGATTGAGGTGTGCGCAGTGCACAGCAATGGCTAATCAAAAAAGGGCTGTTCTTTTCGCAGATGAGTCCAGGTTTAGCCTCAAACTGATAGTGGGCGTTGTTTGATTTGGAAAGAATCTTGAGTTTAATATCATCAATGAAACATCAGCAAGACAAGAGATGCAAGTCAAGAAGGTAGTATCTGTGTGTGGAATGGGACCTTTTTGGGTGGAAACACAGATCTGCAAGTCTTTTTACGTAGAACTGCTAATACTCACCTACATAGAGATGACATTCTTGTTGTTTGTGTAAGCTCTTATGCTGGTACAATAGGTGATGATCTTGTGCTACAGGACGATGTTGTACTGGGATCGCCTGCTGGGTGATTATTTTCAGTAGCAAACAATTTAGAGCATGGGGTGGCCAGCTCAATCATCGAATTTAAATCCTACCGACCATGTTTCGGAAGAAGTGTAGCCGGGTCTCAACCATCCTTCTCAGACACTCTCCCCGCTTGCAACTGCTTGGCAGGAACAAAGGCTCGCACTTCCAATGGAATTGGTAGGACCGCGTTATTGAAAGCATCACGCACACTTGTATGTGCTGTATTGCTACTATAGAGGTGATCATACTTCGTACTAAAGGTATTTTTTCGATTCCAAACTGACACATCGGATTTATTCATTTCGTGCATATGGTAATTTCTATAGCACCATAAATGTCTCATAAAGACTTTTTGTGCTATTTAATGTATTATAAGCACTGTAATGTGTGCTAGTTTCATTAAATTATACGAGTAACTTTTTGAGTTATAGCAATTTTTCTTAATTTATGACTACCAAATTTTTCCTTATTTTATGATTTTTCCTTAATTTATGGCTACCAAAGTATTTCGCCTTTTTGAATTGATCTATAGTAAGTTTTTTTCCTTTTTCATAGATCTGAACTGATTTCTATATTCCAACTGATAGCAAGCACGGGTGAGTTGTTTTGAAACAAACAATATTACTTGCAAACTAAATTATTAAGAGAATTTTTTATTAATACTCTACATTATATATTTCATAAAGAAAGTGGAGATAAATATAAAACTTAAAGCGACTAACCCAGTTACTGAATAGTTGAATATGGAAATAATTAAGACGATAGCTTGAAAATATGCGTGGTTAAAGTCTACCACTAGAAGAGCTTTAGTGGACATTTTGAATTTACTGACAGGAGTTGCGAATATTGTTACCTAGACAAGAGAGGTATTGTTGCATCTTATGGTATAATCACTAAGTGCTCTAGAATATTTCGCATGGAAAGTAAAGGTAAGGATATGTCAAAGCGGGAACTGCACGGCTATAAATATAGATTCTAAAAGTGCAGACTCCCGAATTTTAACTCATGTCCATCGCCAAGCATTTGGCGAAAATCAGTAAACTAACATTTAAAAAAATGTTCAGCAATGTCGATTTACTACTTTTACATATTTTCTAATTTAAATTTAAGCAAGCGTTAAATATTTTACGCACATTTTATGCATAATTTCATTATTTAAAGTACTAGACAAATTTATGCGAAATGATTCATTGCTGGCTAAATAATTAGTGAAAAATAATGTATTGAAAAATCAATCCTTTCTTTTTCACTATAAGACGTACGACGTAGCTACCAACTTTACACGTTTAATAATTTAATCATAGGATTTTACTGCGATTTAAGGATTTCATTATTTAAAGTAATAGACAAATTTATGCAATGTGATTCAAAGTTTTCACAATAATTAGTGGAAAATAATGCATGGAAAAAAACAATACATTCTTTTCCCCTACAGAACATACAACGTAGCCACCAACTTTTCCCGTTTAGCAGTAAGATTTTATCTAGTACGATTTAAGATTTTCGTTACTTATTGCCAAACAAGTAATTACCAAATTTATGCTATCTGACTCATCGTTTGTTAAATAATAACACGAGTTCCTAGAATGTGTGTATTTTTCTTTTGGTAGCAAACTTTTTGTGTTATTATCAATTTGTTATTGATGAAATATTTTCTTATTTCAGGTAACAGTACCTATAAGAATGTGTAAGTATTTCAGCCTTCTTTTCTCTATAATAGAGTGCTTAACAGTCTGAGATATGTCTGTACAGTGTTCTTCCAAAATTAAAAATGGCGACGAAGTTGCTTACTAATTTGCTTGCAGTTTTTACTTTATTTTATAACCGTCGTCGAACAGCCGACCCAATTTTGAGTTGACCACTACCAATTTTCACCTCCGTAGCCTTGTAATTTTGGACCCAATCCAGGAGACAAAAATATATCCTTGATCAAGTATTGGAAGGAATTTGCCTTCGTCTTGAACTTTTCGTGGAACTAACTCGCATTTGCTTTACATGGTGGGGAAAACCACGAAAGAATCCCACGCTTAGCCCGACGGCAAAAGGACTCTAACCTTTGATCTGTCTATGACTGAGCACTGTGGTCTGTGCGAGCCAGGTGTGGAATTCGTATCGGTCAGCCATCGCTCTGGGATTCAAAACTGGGACAGCCGCGACAACTCTATACACGAGCCACCACGGCTGAATAACTACCAGATCTGATGATCTTTATTTCCGTTGCTACAACAACCATTAGAAAATTGAAGGATTTAAATTATTCTGTAACATGCAGAGTGCGAAACGTCGATATTCTAGAGAATTTCTAGGCATTGTATAGAAACGAGGCGTTTTTAGGCAAAATATGAGAACTTTAGGTATTGTAAATGAAACCCAGACATTCTATCGAATTAAAAATGTTATTTAAGCAGAGAATCAAAGTAGGTGCTGATAATGCTATTATAAAAATAACGGGCAAATGTCAAAAATTTATACGTCATTTTGAGAAAAATGATTATCGTGTCATTATATATATAGATGTTTATCA